TGAGGCAGGAGAATTGCTTGAACCCAGGAGGAGGTTACAGTGACCTGAGATTGTGCCACTGCACTCCAGCCTAAGGAATCAGGCAACAGAACAAGTCTCCATCTCAAAAAAAAAAGGAATATGAATGTACACTAGGTATACATATCACACAAGTTTTAGGCATTTTGTCAGGCTTTTTTGTTACTCCTGCTCCTCTTACCTGGTATCAGAGAATTCCAAACTAATGACATTGAGGACTTTCTCCCTCTTCCCGCTGTAATAATATTTCACAAAATCACCAAGCTTCATCTTGCAGTCAGCCTGGCGGGTCACATCAATCACATCAATCTCTTTGTCAGAACCTGGAGTAAAGAGATAGGTTCTGCACCAAGTAGTCTCAGGGACTGTGGAAGACTCTCTTGTCCCCTCATCAGCAGTCCCTTACACTCAAAGCTTCTCTCCTCCAAGTGAGTATGAGAGAGAGAGAGAGAGAGAGAGAGAGAGAGAGAGAGAGAGTGTGTGTGTGTGTGTGTGTGTGTGTGTGTGTGTGTGTGTTTGAGGGGCAGGGGTAGGAATCCATCACAATTTCCTTAGAACTATGTGCTAGACACAGATCATGCTAGGGTAATGGAACTACCAGACACACAGCCTCACACACAGTAATCCACCTGCCTGGGCCTTGCTTCTCCATTTCTTCTCATCCTCTCCCCAGAAACTAATGCCCAGACAACAAGAGGCATGTGAGAACAACAGTCAAAAGCTTTCTGATTTCAACAGAAGAGAGATGATGATACCTAAAAATTTCCCAGGTAAGAAAAAAAACCGAGCTCAACCTAGGGTTGTATGGACTATTAAAAGGAGAAAGATCTGGGCGTAGTGGCTCACACCTATAATCCCAGCACTTTGGGAGGCCAAGCTGGGAAGATAGCTTGAGCCCAGTAGTTCGAGACCAGCCTGAGCAACATAGTGTGATCTCATCTCTACAAAAAATAAACAAAATTAGCTAGGCGTGGTGGTACATCCCTATAGTCCCAGCTAATGGGGAGGTTGAATGGGAGGATCCCTGGAGCCCAGGAGGAGGTAGAGGCTGCAGTGAGCTCATCGTACCATTGTATTCCGGCCTGGGCAACAGAGCAAGATCCTGTCTCTGATAAATGAATGAGTGAATGAATGAAAGGAGAACGAAGGAGACTAGACTTTGGGCTCTATCTCTGCCAAAGAATGACTTTGGACAAGTCACTTCACCTTAGATTCCCAAGATGGCTAGAGAGGAAATGCAAAAACAGATCGGAGGGGAAGGGACACAGATCTTGACAGGAATGAAGAATGTTACAGGTAAGAGGGTCTGTAGTGTCTTACCAACATAGTGTTCAACATCCCTCACAGTGAATGATGGTGAGGGCAGCGTCATGCCCAACCCATCCTTCTTCAGGACCAGGATGGGCACGCTGAAGCTATTTTCTTCCAGGAATTCCACAGTCAGTTGATTTCCAGTGGGCTTCAGAATCACTTCATCTGAGCTGTGGGCCACAGGAGAGAAAGCCTGAGCCTTAGGCCCTTATTGGATGCCGCCACTCACCCAAGATGTGGAGTTTTCAAGAGGGGACCTAATGTGAGCTGGCAACAAATGGCAAAAACCTCATGCGCCAGGGAAGAAATGACCTGTCCAAGGCAAGAGACCAGGTCACTGCCAGAGGTGGGGAGTATTCTGCCAATATAGTGCTCTTGTCTGGGTGACAAGAAGAAATCAGTCAATAGCCTGGCCAGAAAGAAGACATATCTGACAAGTTTGGAGGATTAGTTCTAACCCAGAGCAGCATTACCCAATTTAAAACACTGTCAAATAAAGAGAAAAGACTGATTAAAACAAAACAAAAACATTTTTACAACAACTTTCTCAACATGCATACTTAATAAGTTTCAGCCTGGGCATCATTTCGAAACCCTTGTTTCCACAAAACATTTCTAAATTAGCTGGGCATGGTGGTGCAGGCCTATACAGTCCCAGATACTTGGGAGGCTGCAGCAGGAAGATCGCTTAAACCCAGGAGTTGGAGGTTACAGTGAGCTTTGATCATGCCACTGTACTCCAGTCTGGGTGTTAAGAGTCCCTGTCTCTTTTTTTAAAAAAGCAACAAAAAGGAAGAAAGGAAGGAAAATAGTTTTCTTTTTAAATCATGTTGGAGACAAAATTTGTATTTAACAACTCTGACAACTTGTGTTGAGACAAATATATTAAGCTCAATGCCTATCCCATTATTTATTTATTTTTTATTTTGAGATGGAGTTTCACCCTTGTTGCCCAGGCTGGAGTGCAATGGCGTGATCTCGGCTCACTACAACCTCTGCCTCCAGGGTTCTAGTGATTCTCCTGCCTCAGCCTCCCAAGTACCTGGGATTACAGGCATGCACCACCACGCCCGGCTACTTTTATATTTTTAGTAGAGATGGGGGTTTCTCCATGTTGGTCAAGCTGGTCTTGAACTACCTCCCAACCTCAGGTAATCCGCCCACCTCAGCCTCCTGAAGTGCTGGGATTACAGGTGTGAGCTACTGTGCCCAGCCTATTTCATTCTTTACATAATCCTAGACAGTCCAAAGATTAAATGGCAAAAAATAAAGCTTTAGGAGTAGAAAAATCGGGCCGGGCGCAGTGGTTCAAGCCTGTAATCCCAGCACTTTGGGAGGCCGAGGCGGGTGGATCGCAAGGTCAACAGATCGAGACCATCCTGGTCAACATGGTGAAACTCCGTCTCTACTAAAAATACAAAAAATTAGCTGGGCATGGTGGCACGTGCCTGTAATCCCAGCTACTCAGGAGGCTGAGGCAGGAGAATTGCCTGAACCCAGGAGGCGG